ACTCTACATCATGAAGCCGGCCTGGGAGCAGGCAGAGGAATCTCTGGCCAGTCATTTCTACACAACCTCTTATGTAACGAGTGCAGCTGAGGTTACACATGTGCATGAGATTCATGGTGACAACACTGTTCGCTTATACTGATGTTGCTGTCACTCTGAGGTAAACCAAAACTGACAGAATTTCGTCATTTGGACAAAGCTTATAATAATATTTTGAGTGAAGTGGGCAACACATTTCAAACAGAGAGACCTCGCAGTGTTAATTATGGCACCTGCCAGCAATTTTATCTATTGTTGTTATTATGTAAATTAAACAATAAGAGTTCATCTGACCTCAGTTTGCTGTACATCTGTCCTTTATTTAAATCTTTATTTGGCTTAGAATTAAAACCCTCTGTATAAACTGACCATAAGCTATAAGTGTTTGCTGTAATAAACCCAGGCCCTGGAACAGCCTGTCTATAGACACAAGGTTGGTTAGCAATATCAGCACCAGAGGTTGTACTATCAAGAGAGAATAATGGTATAATTATGGTAGAGTGGCTATTAGAAAGGAGTTTTGAATATAACAAAGTATGAAAAGATCACAGTGGTAACATATTCTGGATAATCATAGATAACATCAAATAATGCATGCAGCATGCACATCAGTGAAAAATGAAGCAAATGCAGTGGTGCCTTAAAGCTGCATTTTTTCTAATGTCCAGCAGGAGGGTGACTCCTTTGGGTGACCTCAGTAAACAGTTCCTGATGACTTTACAGGCTCAGTAACTTGTTTCAGATCATCTTACTATTAGACATAAAATCCATGAACTCCACCTACAAGATAGGAGTGGAGCAACCAAACTTGACAGACAGGTACATTTCAGGCCTCTGAAGAATCTTATCTATATAGGATCATGGATAGAATCAGGTCATTTTGTTGTAGAGAAACCTCAAAACAACAGGCTAAAATTACATTAATAAAGTAGAGCAAAACCTGAATATGGCACAGGAACACCTTGGCACACACACACACACACACACAAGGAATTTTTTTTTTTATCTTCAATTTAGTTAGCAAGAACCAACACCCCTATTTCTTTTACTTGACTCATTGTGACTAAGTATATAAGTTTGTAAAAACAAACAGACCAAACAATATTGCTGCATGGGCATGTTCTAGTATTATTAGTATTATCCAGTTTGCACATTGACTGACCACTTATCAATAACGTAAGACTAACATAACGCAAGAGTTCGCATCCAAGATAGGAAAAGTGAAAATATTCAGTTTAAATGATTTAAACAGTGTGACATCACAGTGGCTATATCAGCATAACATGCCTTAATGTACGGTAGGTTAAGATGATTTTATTTTACTTTAAATATATTTTATAAGGCTGACACAGGTTAACAAATAAAATACAGAACCCGAACCTTTTATGCATTACATAGAGTTTCTACCCATTACTAGTTTCAACTGTTGCACGCAGTTGAGACTGGAAAGACTTTAGATTAAAACTGGACACAAGAGTCACTGGCAATTTGCTCTAACTGTGATATATATTCTCAGCTGAAAGCAGGCAACCTGCTGAGACTTGCTTTAGTGTTACCACCAAAGAAAACCATGCAGTCTAGTAGTGCAATCTAGATGTTACCTACATGGATCCTGATTTGCTGCAGTCAATTTACATTTCTTTGATTGAATCAAAGATCGAAGTGATTTCTATGCATCTCTCATCATGGAACGATATCAGACCAGGGTTTAAATTTAAGAGCTCTAATGTTCAGCTGTATAAAAAAAAATAATAATTTTTTTTTAAAAAAAAATCAAAGATTCAAATGACCCCTTTTATGCGAGCACGAACGAAGCCTAAGGAACCAAGCCTGGATTAACAAAGACAGTTGGTAACCACTGTTATCGTAGAGGGGATTATATAAATACATACATTTTTAGCACTCTCCAAGCAGGTTTTAGAGCCATAATAAAATCTCATAACTAAACAGTTATGTTAACTGAGACTTCATTCACTGAAGCATAAAAGACATTTTTTAATTGAATTTATAGACATAACAGGACAATGCATAGGTTTCTGTAAAACAAGGTAACCAAGTTTTTGCCTTTATTGGGAAAGGAAAAATTGTGATTACCAAGGCCAACTCTGAGCCCACCATCTCTGATGGTGGTTTTAGATTTTGTTAATTTTGCTAATGTAAAGAAGCCTGGCTAATGTTTAAAAGGAAAAAAAAAGTCAAATCTGCTCCTTATTAAGTTGCTGTGTGTGTGCTTTGTTGCTGAAGACTGCAAAACATCCAAATTAAAATCTAAACTTTGAAATCAGAGGGTGGTTCCACAGCAGGGGTACTGAGTTAAGTAGATAATAGCATATCCATACTGGCTCCTGTTGTTTTGGTAATCCAGCTAGGTTTTTAATCTTGTTTTAGGATGAATGCTGCTGGCCTGAGTTGCGTGCGTATATATCTGTAATTTGCAAATGGATAACACAGAGTAATTCCATCCCCACTCACTGTCTGTCTCTGTCCTGCGGTCCTTCCCATAACCCCCCTGCTCTGACAGGCCTTGATTTGTGACATCAGAGGACGGCATCAAAGAGGGAGAGGGCGGAGGTCGCCTCCTTGCTGCTGGTTTTGTGTCATCCCGTTCCCATGGAAACACACCCAAGGGAGTGGAGAAGGTGTCCGATTGGACGGGTGAGTGGCTGTGGCGTGTGCTCTTGTGTTGTTGTTGTGGCAATGAAGGTGTGGGTGTCTCAGAGAACTGAAGCCGCTGCTGAAAAGATGAGAGAGGGTTTAATCAAAGACAAAAAAAAAGAAAAAAAGAGGAGCAGCATGAGCAGGAAGAGGCTCGACAAAAACAAGTCTCAAGGACTCAAGGTTTTACAATCAGACTAATGCAACTAAGAATTACTAACTGCTGTTTTATTCATAACTCAAGAGAAATTGCTTCAGCGTGCACAGCACCTTTAGTATATTTCAAATGCTGCTTCAGGATGAGAGATCGTGAAAGAAAAGTCAATGTTCAGATGTAAGAGCACAGACTTGCTGTTACATTTTCCTAAAACTTTTCTTTTGCCTGCCAGACCTGTACAAACAAATGCAGCAGCACACTATGATGAACATTAGGAAAAAATACAAGCAGGTGAAGCAGGGCATAATTTTACTGAAACACTCAAACCAGCAATAACTTAGTAGCTTGTCTGAGTAGTGAAAGCCTGTAACAGCATATTCCTCTGTACAAAGTTAAAAAAAAAAACATTCCACAGAAGATGCACTGAAGTACATATTATTATTGATGAACCTGGGACAACGTAATTTGTATTAAACCCATAAATAAAGTCATACTTCTTAAAAAAATACTGGTCTCATTTTTTAGGAATAAACTTATAAATTTCTCACCTTTTTAAAGTTTTTGGTCTTCAGTTAAAAATGTGTATATAAAGTTAGATTTGGTCATCCTTTAAAATTTTTGATAATACTGCCAATCTTATCCTTTCAGCTGACTACTAGAAGAAAGAACCTTGCTGTTAAACAAAGAGCTGCGAGCCATGCTGTTGTTTTTAACATCTAAATTTAACCAGAAAAAAAACCTCCATTATAAGGACAGAACAACTTTAAAATACGAATTCTTCCTGTCCTTATCACAAGGCCAGAATGAGATTTGAAAAATAAAATAACACCCTGATAACAGACACTGATGCTCTTTAACCAACTATAAAAACTCTTAACTACATTGTCATGTTTAAAAATAGAGAAATTAAGTACAACGTTGTTTCATCTGTTTTTTTTAAATGCACCACGTGCTGCAGTAGTTCACATTTAAGAAACAGTTACAGCCATCTGGGCCACTTATTTGGAAAGACTTAATTACTTAAGACTAAAAGGAAAACTAATCAAATAAGGAGGGATGTTTTGCTTTGCTAATAAGACAGTTAAATCCTCCAAGTAGAGAACATCAGCTTTCAGCTACAATCCACAGCAGTCTTGGATTAGCTTACACATAGCTCATGTGAGAACATGTTCAGACTTACTCGGATGTGAGGAGCCCGGCTCTGCCCTTCATCTCTGTGCCCCTGTTTCTCTTCCTGTCGGCTCCCTACAGGGCAAAAACAAAGCATATGGACTGAACGTAGTACCTACAACCGATCACAAAAACTGAACAGGAACAACAGCTGTAAATTACCAAGTGGTTTAGTGACGAGAGGAAAGACAAACAAGCTGTCCTTAGAGAGTAGAGGGCTGGGAAAGCAATGTAGCTCAAGGGGGTTTATTTATATCCACTGCTCATTTGGGACTCTGGTGGTTTAACTATTTAATTTTCTTAACTGTAAAGAGTTTTAATAAAAGATTAGAAATAAACTGCCATAGAGATTAAACCAATTAATAATTTTACAGTTTAGAAAACTGTACCATTGTGTTCCCAGGGCGAGCCTGTATTCCAGCAGGGAGTAGAAAACAGAGAGGTATCTGGTGACCTGATGCTGTTCTGCAGCTTCTCTAGCTCGGCTTCCAGCCTGCCCCAGAAAGGAGACACAGAGTGAAAGAGTTTAGAGTGGGAAGAGAAATGGAGATATTTCTTACAGGAAATGAGGGCTGAGGTCAAAAAGTCAGATTTGCTTAGTAAACATCCTAGCTGAAGGACGAGATCCAGTAGTATATGCAAAAACAATGATAACAGCTGGCGGAATTCTCTACAAACTGAGAAAAGCCGTTCCTTCAAAATGTAGTTTAACTCTTTTAGTCAAGATTACACTGAGCTATCACTTATGAAAGAAAAGTATGCTCTCCCACAATTCATAGCAATATGTGGCATCCAACAATCATTTAAAAAAACATTAACATAACTCATCATGTACTGTAGATGATGAGAGAGCCTTCAGAATTTTAGGTTGAGGAACATATATGCGGTTTTTTACTAACTGGTGAACCTCTGCCCATTTTTACTTCCGAGAAACTGTCAATTCACCTAATTAGTTCAAAATGTTCCTCTAGCGGTTCCTATTTAGAACCACCCTTCTTAACCTTTTTGATCATCAAATTCAATATAAGCTAATATAAGCTAAATAGTAAAATGTTAAAGTTTAAAAATATGACATGTTTTCTATGTTCTACTGTTAATAAAAATGGGCTTATGAGATTTGCAAATCATTGCATTCTGTTTTTATTTACATGTATATGGTAATCAATAGTACTTTTCTGTTTTATACAATAACCTGATAATATAATGAAAAATCAGAGGGGATAGAGCTTTCACAGTTGCAGCTCTAAGACTGTGGAACAATATGCCACCGCATGCCAAGCAGGCTCCTTAACTTGTCGTTTTAAAATCTTGTTTACATACTTTTATTCCCTGGCCTTTGACCCAGTGTGATATGCTTACTGTGTTTTTAAGTTGCTTTTTATGTATTCCTTTATTGTTTAACTTCTACAGGTCTTATTCATGTCAGGTTTTTTGACCCTCTGGCCTCTGTTCATCTTTTATATTTAGTTTTATTGTACAGCACTTTGGTCAGACCTGTTGTTTTTCAAAAGTGAATTATAAACAAAGTGATCTGGTAACCATTAACAGTTAGTGTACAATACACCAATTAATTAATAAATAAAGCCACTTGCATGCAAATTAATGGAACAGAGCAGAAGAAAACATATCTAACAATTACTTTGGCTAATGCAAGTATCAGATTGAATAATATAGGGACTGTACCCAATCAACATCCAAAAAGCTGACTGGGACATCTCCATTTAAGACAGCTTCCTATACTATCAAAATGTAATGTCTATTGTCTGATTTTTAGTGCTGCATGTAGTTCCAACAATCAGTTTTAGTTTTACCTTCCAAATCCTCCCTTTTTACCCCCCCGCCCCCTTAAGACAGATTGTATTTAACTATCAAGTTTAATTCAAACTAAGTTATCCTAAGAATACCAAACGTCACTATATTTCAAACATTCAGTGAAAACAATACATAAATACCAAAACCAGATGGATTTAAGAAGCTTCTTGCCTCTGTGGTTTTTAGCTCATGCTGACCTTTTGATTTCCTGGGTGAGTTTGTTGTTGAGGGTACGAGCAGCATCTAGCTGGCCCTCCAAAGAGCAAACTTGGGCCTGCTTAGTCTGAAGCTCCAGCGCAAGGCGGTCCCTGCTCGTCACCGCTGTCGTGGCCTCATCCCGAACGTTTTGGAGCTCTCGCTGCACCGACTGCAGCTCCACACGTACCTCCTCATACTTGGCAGAAAAAAGGAGGAAAAAGGAGAGAGAGGGAGAAGCATATATTTAATGATTATTTAAGGAAATCCTGCTACAGATGACTCACCCTTCATGACAATATTTGCACAATATTATTTAGAGAAGATTAAAATTACAGGAACTGTATTTCCTTGAAGAGCAACATGTAGGTCAACTTTTTCTCTACATTCATATATAAAGTTTCTTGAAAAGCTAATGCATGATTTTATTCTTCTGTGTAATTTGGATGAAAAAGTGTGCATTTAAAGAAGCACTCATAAAAAATACTATTTCCTACAGATTATGTAATTTTTCTGTGGTCTGTCTAAGCGCTCAATGCCACAGCAGGTGGCAGGAGCAGCTTCCTGAGCCAGTGCCAGTGGATCCATGGTCAGCAGTCAGTGAGAGACTGAGCTCTCACTGATCACAGAGATACAGGGCTACTTGTTAAATTTTAGATAACTTCCAAATTGAGCTTCCAATAAGAAGATTTCCTAATGTTAATCTAGATTTAGCATATTGTTTTTGGAAAAGGCAGCATTACATCAACCATAACAGGTACTATGGTGGTGCAGTAGTTAGTACTACTGTCTCACAGCAGCAAGGTTCTTGGGTTGAACCTGCTGGCTGACTCCAAAAATCCAGTCCAGTTCAGAAGCATGACAAAGTTAGATGATTTCTTACAGCCTTAACTAAACTTGCAAAGTCAACAGTACCAAATCACAAAGCTACTAATACTTGTGTTTCAGTTATTTGTCATGTAAATTGTGTGAGGAACAGTATAAGTGTTCATACTTTCACAGTTTGCTTCTCAAGGCTTGTATGGATGTTGTCCAGCTGCAGCTGTTTCTGCTTGTTTTCCCTGGACAGCCGTTCATGATGGATTTGCAGCTCCTTCACCTTTTGCAGGACCCGTCCAGACAGCCCTACTGTCCAGTCCTCCTCAGCCCAGCTCATTTCTTTCTGCCTGGGCCTGAAAGGGTGGGAAAATTATATCAAGAGCTTGAATCAAAGTTCATTTTTATTTAATTCCCTCAGAAGAAAACATTTCCTTTTTAAAAATGAAAGGTCACTTGGTTTCTAAGCACTCGGGGTGACAGACTGTGCATGGCTTCACAAGGCATGGTGCTACCTAACCTTTCCTATTCATAGTTGGCTGATCCAGAATACGACAGCTTATAAAGCCATGGGATTTACCAGAACAAAGAGGAAGTATAGGCCATTTATAATCCCAGTCATATACTTATATGTGGCCTGTGTTATAATTAGTCATAAAAATGCTTCCTACTACAAATTTGTCAATCTACTTCTACAATTTTTCATATTTTTTATTTAACATGAACTGGCCTATTAGTGTGGCAAGAATAAAGGAAGGTTGTGAAATCCATGCATGATTAAGTTTCAATCTGTCATATATAAACAAAACAATGTTGGTAAATCAAATGCAAATAGTACTGTATAATTTATTATGAGTCATACCTAAATCAACTCTGCTGCTAAAATAAATGTAGTAACTTGAAGGCTAAGTGCGTATGCATGTGTTGGTACAGAGGATTCAATTGATAGCATGTATATCTAAACAAGCTTCAATCATATCTGCCTTTGACTCCGTCCTGTGTTGAATGTTGCTAAGGCTTTGAACCCTCAGGGAGAAACTGGTTGTCACTGTTGGGCAGCTGTGACTCAGTGTTTCCCAACACAGCCTTCTTGCTACGCTCATGCATCACTGAAAGCTGAAAGTAAATATAATCTCTCTCAAATTTCAAGTTTACGTCAAGGTTCTTCCTCAGACAATGCCACATCTGATGGCTGTTTTAAAGTCTCTTGTTCAAAACATTGCATTTGCAAGCACTTTGTTAATACAGACAAACAACAACAACATCACCTGGACACGGATAAGCAGAATTAAAGATGAGAGCATTGGAATGAAGAAAAGCCTGACTGAAATGGCCTGAAACAAACTCACAGAGGTTAATTAAAAGCTCAGTTTTGACTTGCATTACAGCCTCAAGGCTGTCAACACCAAACTCACATAGTTTCTGTCATAGCATACGTGTCACGTCACTATTTACCTGCTTCCTGGCAGAAATACCCGACTATAACTGAGAGGAGCCAGTCACATAACACCCAGAGTGACTACAAAGACTGGACAATAACACTTTTGTACAGGGGACTTAAGTGTCTTTTCGGTTTCATTAGGATGACACGCCAATCTGAGCATTACTGACAACAGTATACTGGTGCACAAGCTGATTAGTGTTAAAGGCAGCAACTATCAATTACTTTAAGTAAGGATTCATCTGATTAATCACTATTAAGCTATAGCTAATATTTTAAATTAGTCAGAGTGTAAGTGTCCCCATAAAAGTAAATTAACATTTCTAATCGATAAAAATATAACATAAAAGAAAAGTAGAGTTTGAGAAGCCTCAACCTGGGAGGGTTTGGCAACTTTTCTGTTTGATAGTTCAACATCATTACTAATTACAGGTTCTAATCAAAGACCATGACCAGTTGTTAACTGCCAGGATTGGGTTAGATCTGCAGGTGATCTTGAGGTTGAAAATCTGGTTTTTCATGCAGTGCTCGTTTCACAATACAGCACATGACTGTCAGGGTGAAATTACAGAACTTTTTAGTGTTTTTGTTCCACAGACAACCTAAAGTCAAGAAGGAGTCAATAGTGGACAAGTGGTCTCAGGCACATACAGTCCTGTGACAAAATTGTCATAGGACTTTATGTACCACTGTACTTTCTTTTTCACATGATAGTAAAACATATGTTGTCTTTCCCCTGCTCATATCTATTTCCTCTTCTTTCAAGATGGAGAAAGCCATTCAATATTTCATCTACCACAAGTTAGAAAACAGGCACCAACTTCAAACTAATAATTAATACAACAAATTAAGTTTTTTTCTTTCCACTTTAAAACAGGCAGAGAAAACAGAATGCCTTATACAAAAAGTAATGGCATGACAAAAGAAAGCAACTCTTTAAAAAACAAACATCGGGGGATTAAAAGATTAAAAGACCATGATCAAACATGTGATGTTAAAGAATGTGATCATTTTATGCTATTGCTCACGACACCTTAATAAATAAAGTGCTGAATGTCAGTACACGAAAAGGAGATGAGATATACAATTAGTACATTACAGCAGATAAAATATGAATACTACATTCGGTCGTACTGATCCATTATAATGTCATCTGATATTTGTTATCTTTGCACTACATTTAGAAAGCAATTTTATTTCTGTTTTATTTTTCTTCTGTTTATACTTATCTGACTTTAATCTGTACATAACGGGAAAGTTTCGTTTGTCATATTGTATTCTGTTTTATTTCACCGAGTCACACCATACTTATTTAAGTTTATAAGTAGACGTTTGGAATTCAACGTTATAGCAGTTAAAAACGTCAAGCTTTTGGAATAACGTAGATCTTATCGTAAACACAACCTACAACAGAATACCTCAAATAAAATACAATAGAAACACGATTACAAAAACAAAACAGCCCCATAAAGGTAGGATAAAACAAAAAATCACAAAGATGAATGTTATACACACACACTTTGGAAATATAACCATTAATTTCTAATTAGGGACAAAAGCACGTCGTCTCTTAATGAGGTGGACATGTGCAGATGTAGCAGATAATAATGATGATGAGGAGGAGGTGGTGGTGGTGGTGGCAGGGAGCCAGAAGTTGGACCCTGGCCTGATCACGAGGTTCAAAACTCAACACGAGACAAATGACAACTTCAAACTAAATCTCACTTTAACAGCCACGGAGGTAGAGAGTGAGTAACAGCAGCAGTAAGACCAGCCGAAAGTAACTTTTCTACCGCCTATTAGTGTTTGTTGAGCGCTGAATGACACACAACTGTAGCGATGATGCTACCAGCTAGCCACGCAGTAAAGCTACTTACCATTCACTACTTCAGTTACAAAGGGCGCCAGCCGCCGGGGAGGCGCACACACTCTCACACACGCAGGCGTGACAGGGCTCTGTTCCCGCTGTTAGAACCAGGCTCCGGCTCTTCACTGTTCGGCGAAGATAAGTTTAAGTTTAAAGCGAGAGGAGCTAGACGCTAGCGTTGACTGACAGCTTTCATAGGTTGAGACGAGATGCCGCACGTCTCGTGCAGCTGACAAGCCGGAGTCGTTGTGGCACGAGGCGGAGCGGGGCGGGAGCTGGTGACGTAGCAGCGGAATGTTTTGGGAAAAGTCCTCGCGGGGGTGTGAACCTCTGATGACCCCTAGCGACGTCCATTGCCAGTGGAAACATGATGCTGCTAATTTAACTGTAGCGAACAAACTGCTCTGTATTTTAATTTTTTACATTCTTTATATATTTTATTTTTATGTTTGACGATGTCTTATATATTTATTATAACAAATGTATAAAAATATATTGTTTAATACTAATATGATAAATAAATAAAACTAGTAAAAATTATTTATCTTATGCTATATTAGGACAGTTTTTTTCTGTCCTGTCTTCCTCCCTTCACCTCCAACAAGTTGTTGATTGCACAATATTGTTTAAGTTAGTTTTCAGCCCAAGGAACGTACATAACCCACCACACCTGAACTATACATAGAATCTAAAAAAACAATCTGCAGGTTTTAAATTATTTTTGTTTGATGTTAACAGAAGATTAGTAAAGAGCTATTGAGTGTGGGTTTCCTTGTGGTTGTGTTTCAGGGCATTTTTCTTCTTAATGTCTATTTAAATTATGATCAAGTGACCTTTTTCCACAAGGTAGTGTTTGCTTGTCTCATATTTAGTTTAACTGTGTATAATAATAATAATTTTTATTACATGATTATTATAATAAATAATAACAAAGTATATTACGCTATATAATAATATTTGAAACTGTAGTAAATGAATTAGGAATTAAGTATATAATACTTTCAATATTAAACCGCAGCAGAAACACACACGCAGAGACGCATACGCACAGACACACATATTCACTGACCAACCAAAAAACAACCACAAACAAAAACACCATTATAAAATATGGTATTAGCAAAGAAATATTATAAATTTAGGCGAATAAAGTGCAAAGTTTGCCTGATTTATGAAAGAATATACAACATCCTTAAGTATAATTGTTGAACAGTTGTACAATATGTACTTTAAGAGATTAGAATGGTATTGATAGAAAAATATTTGGTGGATACATTTTGGGATGCTTACAAGTAAATAAGCAAAATAGCCCAATGATAAAGGTTTCTTTAGAGTGAAAGCTTAAACTCTTATCTTCTCATACTGCCACTGTCTGGCAGGAGCAAAGCAAGGATCCACCCCTGAAGTTTGGCCACTCCACCCACCTCAAGTTAACAGGATATGCACAGACTTTCATCCCTTTCTTTCTTACTTTCTTTATTTCTTTGAGCTGAAATATTTTGTTGCTGCTGTTGTTCAATTTATGTAACCGTCCAACAAACCATTGAAATTGTACTGAGCAGTTAAAAGAGAATAAAACTTGAGTGTTTGCCTATCACTTGGGTGGGGATGTATAAACACAGCAACAAAAAGGATATTAATCTATGAGTCTACATGGAATAATTCTACATGGCGGCCAGGCCTCAGTATGCAAATGAAACCAGTGAGAAGTCAAAAAGTCTACTACTGCTCACACTCAGTTATTAAAGGGTTGGAGGGTTGTCCTGTTGTCACCTTTATCTGCACCAAAGCAGCTGATGTGGCCTTAATGTTTTAGCAGAGTATTTAGCCCACAGCAACATGCCACGCAGCAACCAAAAAACAAAAAGAAGAAAAAAAGGACATGTCAGTTTCTTTCCCTGCCTAGTGTAAGTAATGGCCCCAGCTTGGCCACTCCTATGAAAATTGTCAGCCTCCACCACTGCTGTCTGAATGTGTATTTGACTGGTGTTATGGTTTTACTTTGTTTATTAGATGTTAGGCAGGACAATATATGTAACCCTTTAGGCTCTCATCTTGTGTTTAGCTGCAGCATTTTCTGGCATTAGATAAATTGAAACAAGCAACACTCGTTGATAACAGTAGGAACTGTTTTCCCTTCAGTCACTGAGTGTAGCAGCTGTAATTAGATTATGTCAGCTATTACAACCACTCATTCTTCCAGGTAGGCTATGGATTTGAATGTAATCTGGGATTTGGTGGCGCATTGCTGAGTGGTGTGGAAACCCAGGCACTAGACTGTACCTTATGTTACCAATACAATGCCATGTACAAGTTGGCGGGATAGACTGCTAACACCTGAGTGTGTGAGAAAGTGAGATTAGGTTGGTTGTTATGTAACATTAGCCCAACAACAGTCTGGTAATTGCAGGTGTGTTTGAAAGATTATTGTCTGTCCACTGGATGCTATTTTAAAGACTGTGCTGGGTATAATAGTATGCCTATCAGCCTGAAACCAGAAATTCTGCTGGTTTAAGTTTCATGACTGTCCAGAAATTAGTCTGTCAGACTCTGAAAGTGGTTTGAAATATCTTAGAGAAAGGTGTTTGTGACCTGCAACCTTCACTACATTTTTAACAGCAGATAAGATATAAAATCATGAAAAACATGCAAAAGAAAGGTGGCAAAACAAAATTAAGTCCCCATGCTGTTATATAAATAGTATATAAATATTATATAAATATATATTATATTATATATAATATTATATAAATGTTATATAAATACCCCACCTGAATTCTGGCCATCACACACAGAAGCACACGGCTCTCCCAGGTGTACACTCATGTCACGAGGTAAGCTCCTCTCGTCACTCACTCATTATTAATACAGGATTACTTGTATTCTCAATCCCAAACTCGCACACACACAATACGCACCCCTCACAGAAATACACGCACTGTCTGCTGGGGACCTTCACCTGTAGCAAAGCAGTCAAGTATCTGTGAGCCACCAGCTGTAGTCTCAGGAGTTTCATCCACTTTGAATGTTGCGAGCCTGTGCAGGCCCGCTGCTCACTTTACTGCTGACAGAGGTTTTACCAGACAAGTGTTGGATATTCATCAGAAGAGAAGATACTACAGCTTTGTAACCCTTGTTTCATGAAGGTAAGAAAAGATTTATATATATCTGATAACAAGGAGAGAAGTTAGAACAGTATGCAATGTGTTTGCATTCACATATGCACCACATTTTACTTAAATAGACAATTAAGATTTCAGAGGATTTTAGATAACTCCAGTGTAAAACAGCTCTACAGACTGTGTGCTGAGGTGATTTTAATGCTTTTGCTTTAAACACTATGGGTTCAAACATGGTGAAGGTCATATCATCGTATGACAGATACTTTTCAGTCTCTTCTTCACTAACTCTTTGTGTTTTTTCCAGATGTTTCCTTGGTCCGCTGTTTTCTCCCTTGAGCCTAAAGTGCCCGGCCAGCGAACAACTGAGGAGCTGGTAACCAACACCCTGATGCTGGAGCTTGGGGCCATGGTGAAGCGCACTGAACGCATCCGCTTGGAGAGGGCGACGGAGGGTCGTCGCCGCCGTCGCAGCTCTTCCTCTACAGCAGACTACAGCTGGCTGGCAACCACCCCGACCCCACAGCCCTATGAGCTCACTCCCAATGACCTGCTGGAGCTGCAAGACCTCTGTGCCAAAATCCCTCCTGCACAGTGTGGGCCTGTGATTGTCAGGTAAGAAAGACAGGCAGAGGTAGAGACAGAGCTAGAGGACTGGCAGGATAACGGTGAAACTGTTACTATAACTAAAAGACCTACAGATCGTTTTCAAATAGCAGAGAGCTGCAGGGTTTCAGTCTAATCCATTTTACACACTCAGCAATAACTCGCTAATACTGTTAGAGCCATACTTACAAAAGTTGACTTTTAAATGTCTGTGTGAGGTTCATATTAACCCCTTATGTAAATCTGAGAATAGAAAAACTGGAGGGTTAAGATGCATGTACAATTTTCTAGTTTTTGCGACTATGCTTGCTTTGGTGTGGTGTAAATATGACCCAGCACTAACCCTACCCCTCACTGGTAAATGCCCATAATTAATTCAACAGAGGTCCTTCATAATGATGAATGAATTTTCAGTAAAAAAAAGCAAATGTGACTTTTTTCTGGTGTTATCACTGAACGGAGTTGTTTAGACAAAGCGATCAAGTAAATATAAGGGCTTTAAAATCTAATATTCAGTTTTATTAATCTGTGGGATTCAAAAATATGAACAAGTTGACAAAAAAGCAACTTGTCATCAATGAGACTCCATCATTAATAGTCACTTCTGCAAACACGTCCTCTGTTAGAAAAAAAAAGTTTCATACAGGCTGTACACCCTCAAACACCACCAGTGTTTTTCTTACAGTGACGGTCCAATTTATTCTTCATTCTCCACCCTTACACTCTTTGTTGGCTGTGTCCTTTTTGTTTTGCCTTGGCTGTAAAGGGGTGTGAATCAAAGTCAGCTCATATTACACTTACTCTATCCCTCCTGCTGCAGGTTCAGGAGGCTGGTGTCACAGATGGAGCCCGAGGTTCACGAGGTTCCTCGGCTCTTTCGCTCAGTGCTGCGTGACTGTGCGGATGAGGCGAACGGAAACGACGAGGTTCCGACCCAGGAAGTGGTGTTTGAGAAGCAGCAGCGCAGCAAAAGCCTCTCCTTTGTCACTTTCCGCACAAAATTCCGCACGGGGCATTTCCCAAAGGGCAGCAACTTGAGAGGCTCCAGGGGGAACCTGCAGCAGCAAGTTGAATGGTCTGATGAGGAGGAGGATGGAGAAGGGGAGGAGGAAGCAATTCAGGCCAGGACGAGGAAGGGAAGGAGTAAGAGCATGCCAGAGATCACCCCTATAGAGCAGAGTGCTCATGGGTGAGAGAAGTGGGGGGAGTCAGGGGAGAAATAAAGCAGAGGGACATGTGCAAGGGAGGGGAGGAGAAACTAGGAGAGTCACAGAGAAGACTGGGTGAGCCCAGATTGTACAAGACAAGCATTAATGAGGAAGAAAGGGAGGAGTGGAGGTAGCTGCCATTAAAAAATGGGTCAAATAAAAATCTGGAAAACTTAAAAAATTATTTTTTTCCTTATTTCAAAAGATGAAGAAAAAATTCAAGAGAAAGGACTTAAGTAGATTTGCTCACTGGCAGCTTTAGGTAAATCTAAAAGAATTATGGTTCTGGCTTTAAGATGTCAGCAGCCTTTTGTGGTCCTGGTGGGTAAATTAAAAACTGCTCATACTGTTTTACCTACATAAGACCAAAAACACTAAAGGGAATAAATAGCTGTTCCAAATCCGAAGCGACCTGTTATGCTCATTTCCATATTTCAAGTAACTTTTCCTGATTTCCATTTCAAAATAATCCTGCTTTGTCTCATTCTGGGCCTGGAACCAGTTTTTATGTTAGCTCATCTCCCTTTAAAACCACTTTTGTCTGGTAACGGATGGTTTCTGTATCTGAAATGGTAAATACAGATCCTCCTTCTTTTGACGGGACCCTTGCTACAGCAGATTATCTGCCTCCATCTCATCCTATCCCTACCATGCTCCTCTGTCACACTCTGCATGCCCTTCTTCATGACCACAGAGGCCATCTCTGTGGTCTTCCTCTCTTCCTCCCACCTGGCAGCTCCATCTTCAAAACCTTTTTGATATATCCACTATCACTCCCTTGACTACCACCTCTGCACCCCTACCCTTCCTTCTCTTCCTGATGAAACTTTCCCATTTATCTGGACTTGGGACTAGCATTAGGAGTACACTGGGTTGCACACCACCACAAGCTGGGTTGACACGAAACAGATTAAAGAATGTGGAAGTGGAAAAAAGAACATTTAAAGCAGTCTGAATCCTGAATTGCTGGCTACCAACTTAATATTTTGAAACTCAGACCATGTCTGAGCATTAACCAGTATAACTGTACTGTACAAGTAACCTAAGAAAAGAAGGATATGTCCATGCCAGCCTATTTAGTATGTTGAGTTAAACTTTGCTCAAGCTTATGGCATCTATAAACTCAAACCCATACTGTAAGGGCTCTCTGATGAATCATAAACACATCACATGAACTAAAACTTGTTACATAACAGGCAGGACAGCCATCTTCTGCAGACTCAGCAGCCACAGTTTGGCTCCAGATCACCAGCTCAGTTAACAGATGCTCTCCCGTCAAGTAAAGCAGAAAATAATTAGACTCACGTATGATTTTATTGTAATACAACATGTACTTAAGGTAATAAATAACCAATTTTCTTATCTTTTCTGTGCAATTAAAACACTTCTTTTACACAAAAATGTCTTCTTTTTTTGTTTTAAATAGATGTTTAGCTAACATTTGAGGCTAATGTTTAAATGCATATCTGTCTGTCTGCATTGTTATAAATGAAAATAAAGAATAAAAGGCCAAATATAAACTGCAGCATTTGTTACAGCTAATTAAAGCTCTGCTGACTGATCCTCTTATCCCAAGAAAATCTCACACGTGAATGCCAGCACCCCATTACTGTTTTATTAATGCACACTTTATCAATACATCTTCATAACTATTTCAACTTTATACACTAAGTCAAGGCATTTGGCTAAAATTAAAAAAAAAAAAAAGAAAACAAAGAAAGAGCAAAAGAAAAAAGGAAAAAAAAAGTTTCTTTTAAAAAGTTGTGGTCATTTAAATAACATCCTGTACATTAGGTAGATAATGGATGCGCACAGGCATCCAACCAGACACTTCCAGGGAACGTGGCCGATCGTGTGACTTTACAACCAGCGCTTACCCCTTCATACGCACTGATCCTCCTGCAGCACTCAGTGAGGTTTAAACCTTTTCTTCCATTAAACCTTTGCGAAGGCTGCTCACCACACAGCTTCATTTAAAACAGTGCCGTTATATAACATTTCTCACAGCTCACCCTTCAGTTACACTGCAAACCTCCCTTCATCTGGCTATGACTGCCTACTTGTGCCACAGCGAGTTTCCTTGTATTGTGTCACAGTTCAACAACGGTACCAATTTGGCAAATGAAAGAAAACAGCAAATAAAGATTATTTTTAAAAAATCCACATCAGTTTTGGATGGTAGAAGGTTAGGAATTGCTGATAAATGAGAGACAGTCATGTGGTTCCAGTAAAAAGCAGGTAAACTATGAAGCAACATAATCTGAGGAGCAAGTCCAGTTGTAAAGTTTGGCTTTGTAATACTTACTATAAAGGATGACGTGTGGTAAAAGAGGATAAACAAAACAACCATAAGACAGTTTGCAGAATCAAACCATTAAATTAGAGCCATTTTGATTAAATGCTTATGAATAGTTGGTCAATGTAGAATACAGAGCAGCTTTCTGCTCTTAAAGTGGGGATTCAAAGATCATTTATTTGTTTTATTCGAGAGTTCAACATCTTCATTTTCCATTGAAGAGTCAAATTAAGACTGAAAAGTTTGTGGCTTGGGACAAAACGACAGGTCCGTATTCGAGTGGATCCCAAAAGCCTCCATGAAACCGTGATAGAAGAGTCTCGAAATACATCCTTATAGTCTAGCTTTAATTTTATTCTCCCTCATTCGATACCGTTTCCCTGCTCCTCATTCCTTTACGCAAAGAAGACGACAAAGATGATGAAGAAGACCACAAGGACCAGAAAGATCTTGATCATCAGCCAGCGGTTGGAGGAGACTGACTGGAAGTATTTGAGGATCTCTGTGTGGGCAGCCTCCACGTTCAGCTGGGTGTCCTCCACGTTAGCATCGATCCTGTGAGAAAGAAACGGAGCAGTGAGAAGAGAGTTTTTAATCTCTAATCAGTCTTGTTTTATTTCAAAGACTAAGAAATTACACCAATACTTATCCCATTAATGCAAAACCCCCCCAAAATTCACAATTTTTTTCAGTTCTGCTTTAGTTTGTTATTTGTTTATTTATTTTAAATAGAAAATTGCTAAGATTTGTTATTGCTTTGATATATATGGGCTTCTGTCTTTTAAACCCTCTAGCGGTTAAAATTGGTGTCGGTTGATTGCCTTCCAGGGCTATTAATGAATCCTGACTGATGCGTATTTGTCAGACCCTGATGAAGACTTGCAGTCAATACGTGCTGATCTGTTTTACTTGCTGAATTGTTCCAAGAATACATTTGTTATATAATTTTATCCCAACACAGGACCAAAAAACAAAAAAAAAAAAACACTTTTATGTTTCAGGCTTTTTTTCAGCAAGATTGTTTTTCCAGTTCTTTCTTTCAGTTGTGTAACTCGTTCTTTTATCCTACTGAACCTCATCTGTCTCCATCTCTTCCTCACCTCTGGATGGTCTCCTCTTGTTCCTTGACCATGTGCGCCAGCTGCTGAAATATGGAACCCAGTTCCACGATGGTGCTCTCGATGTTTTGCATGGTATCTGCACGGCTCTGGATGTACGAGTCCTGTTGCCACAACACAGCATTTTAGTGTAATATTTAGCTAATCT